GAGCCCGATGCGGGACTCGATCCAGGGACTCCAGGATCATGACCTGAGCCGAAGGCAGTCGCTTAACCAACTGAGCCACCCAGGCGCCCCACATGAGCATTCCTAAGGCTAATTTGTAGGTGTTTATAGTCATTATGAAGCAACTTGTATCCAAAAGTTAAAAGTATATTTGGGTCATTACATGTGAAAACAGAATGACCATTGTTAATTCAATAAAGCAAAATTAAGGTAAGAATGACTTAATGAGTTAAATAAGGCTCTTTGCTGATAAATATAAATTTACCCCCTGGGGGGAAGTAGTAGTTCTAGTGGGAAATCTTATAATATGCATTTTACAGACATTCACAGAATTTTCTCTTTTTTTTAAAATTAAATAAATAAATTTTATTTATTTATTTGCGAGAAATTGAGAGAGAGAGAGAGTAAGCACACAAGCAGGGGGAGGGGCAGAGGGAGAGGGATAAGCAGACTCTCCCCTGAGCAGGAAGCCAGATGCTGGGCTCGAACCCAGGACCCTGGGATCATGACCTGAACCGAAGGCAGACACTCAACCTACTGAGCCACCCAGGCACCCTCAGACATTCACAGAATTTTCTGTTTTCCTCATTCCAAAAGTGATCGATGGGGATAAGAAAGGTGGCCTCATATAAGTTTACACATAGGGGAAAATAATTAAAAGTTTCCTCTTGAATAAGTAAAATATATGATTTTAATAAGTAAACCTACAGAAAAAAATTTTCTTATTTACTAACATTTTCATATGTATTTCTAACCCCTAATTTCCACTTCTATAAAGTAATAGTTTTTTATTGTTCACAGATTCCTTTGGGTGACCCCTGGACCGTCTGGTGCACTTAGATCAAATGTAAGTGTGCACATTTACCTTGAAACTTGAATTCAATTTCAAGAGTGCCATGTTAATTAATGGCCCATTCAGATGTTCATGCTCACCATCCTGAGAAAATGTAAACAAAGTGCCTTACCATCACCCTTAACGGGGTATACAGTGCATACTCTGTTTCTGTGTTTAGCATCCACTGCATTCAGAATGATAATGTGCATAGAAATAGTAGCTACAAAAATAATTGAGAGGGAAGAAGGAAATTTGAGAGATTGGCATTCAGTTAGCTGAGATTAGGTATTTGGGGGTGGACAGATGTGGTCACCAGAAGGAAATGCATTTCATAAAATGATTCTGGGACTTATAGGAGGATGATAGACATGGTCCTAAAGGCAAAGGAGAAGGAAACTATTTGCAGAAACAGAACAGATGAATGATGTATGTTTATGGAGAATGAGTCAAGCCAGACCGACTCAATTCTCTTTTGCATGTGGGTAAAATTAGAAAATTAAGAGTGGGGGTAGCAGAGGAGATATCAATTTTGATTATAGTAAACCACTTAACATAATGTCTCAGGAAATCTTAATTAAAATTTAGCTCAAATTGGATTCAATATTAACATTCTTCCTGGGACTTAAATTGGCTAAAGGAATCTAATGATAAATGGCAATGCATCAAGTTAAGAATGGTTGAGGAGCATGCTTTGGGGATGTGGGTATTATGGCTGGCCTTATTTAACATTTTCATGAATGATATTGGAAGAGAGGATAAGCTGGATAATAATTAAATTGAGGAAGGCACCCATCTGGGAGGTGCTATAAATACCAGAGAGTACTGCAAAGCAGAGGTGAGAAAAACAGCCCCCAGACTGCAGAGCGAGCCAACCACAGAAGACAGGCAACACCACTAGATCCACAGAAACCAACGGCAGGTAGAGAGTTCAACAAATAAACCAAAAATCAGTTCCATGTTTAGGTGATTTAAATAACTTTACATTATTTTTCAGTCTTTTAGTACTAAGTCAGAACACAGTGGGCTAAAAACCAACATAACTGAGTCCCCACACGTGCAAACAAAACTATGGTGAAGCAATTATTTGGTCCAAGATTCGAAAAGGGAACGGAGACACTGGCTGAATATCCAGAAAAATGGTAATGTCCCTTGTGAGAGACCCGGCACCTAAAGTCTGATGGGGATTTCATTCAGTTATGACCCAGTGACTGTGACCAGGGGTCTCCTGAGATGAAGTCATGTGAAAATGTTCCCAGAGCAGAGGGGGTGTCCGCCTCCTAAATCAAAGAGGACGGAGGAACAGTTGATGTTCATGGAGAAGCCAATGTGTTGCTTACAAGTTACCAGGCAGTAGAATAAAATCTATCATTTGTAATTGGTTTCCTGCAGTGTTATGATACATAAATGGTAAGACACTCTAAGTCATGCATCTGTATCTCTTTTTCTGCAGCATACTACAGTCCTCTTCACGGAGTTGAATCTCACCCTCCCACCATTCCTTCCTTTGCCATCCCCATACCCACGCGTTCCAGACATCCTCAGCCACCCCTCTCTCCCACGATAAAAAAAAATAAAAACGAATAAATAAACATGACATGGCTAGATCTGACTGTGGTTTGTCTCCTCAATCTCTTTCCTGTGCCTGAGAAACTGAAAAATAATGGCTTTACGTAAAAAGACAAATGTAAAGAATGTTGGATCATAAACTGAAAAAACAACCTTAGATTGGAGTCTCACAAATGAAGCAAGGATTCAATAAAAGTCATAGTTCATACAGAAATCATCATACTTAAACTATAATCAACTGCATGTGGTATTTTTATATGAATGATGTCTAAGCTGACCGTGACTAAGCACATTGACCCATTGGCATCCTGGGCTTTGCTTCTAGGAAGAGCCTCTCATTTTCCTCAGAGAGATGCTCATCCCCTTCACAGCCCATGGGTGGGTGGGGCTGGTTCTAGCTCCAGCAATGCGAGTGAGGTTCAGGCCTGGGCTGTTTGGTTTAAGAACTGGCAAGTTATCCAAGTAGGTAGAGTCAGGGTAACTCCCAGAACCACGGAAAAGAGTGGCTCTTAATTACCCAAGGGCTAGACTGATTGATTTATATCTGATGTTTGCTCATCTTTACACCTGCATTGGGTCTCTCCAGGACTGAGAAAACGACAATGCCAGGAAATGGGGAGAATATCATTGATGATACTGTTTGCACGTATGCCTGACCTTTACTGATAGATGAACGAAAAACATACTGCTTTTTTTAAAAAAGAAAAAGCTAGTTTAATTTGAAATTATGTCTCTTCAACATTAGAATCCCAAATATTATAGGAAAAGAGTTACGATTAATGATTCTCCTTGGCTTGCTTCGTGACTATTTATTCTTCTAGGGGTCCTGTACTTGGAGGTTTTGGTATGCGGTGCCAAGTGGTCCCTAAATACATGAAATCATCCTTGATTCAGTGTATGATTATTCATTACAATGGCCAAAGATCATGCTATGGAAGTGGTAGAGTTACCCCTGTTTAGAAATCATGATTAGCTCCTTAACAAGTAATAAAAAATATGTATACATAGATAAATAACACACACATATATATATTTCCCTGTAATAAAGCAGTTCTTTTTTAAACAAAGCGATTATCTAAATTAATAAATTAAGCAGTTTAAAAATATATATTTCTTAGAATGTCTTTCTCAATCTCTTTATTCTTCATATTAACTATTCAAACCAGGCAGACAAAAAAAAAAATAGAGCCGTATGTGTAAGTTTGGTGATATTTAGTACAAGGTAAGGTCATGAATACTCGTGTTTAGATCTCTTTAAAATGAAGTTCAATTTGCAAAGTGAACTCTGGATTGATGGCTTGTGAAAACATGTAAATCTGAGTTTAGAAAAGTCTGGAAAATTCTGTATCCTTTCCATAAGTGTTATAGAAGTGAGCCAACTGAGACTACTTGGTGATAATCATAAAAAAATAATTAATTCCTAAACTTGCTTTGGGGAAAATAATAATCTGGAGGAAAACATTCATTTCTAAATAATTAATGAGAGCCTATAATGGTGCCAGGGACAGTGTTAGATGCTGGGGGTAAAGTTGGTAATTAAA